TTTTTAAATTCTTCTTCCGCAATCATAATTTACATATATAGATCATCCGAATTCATTCTGCATGCGTGCAGGTGGGATCTTGACGCCATTGGAAAGTTACCTGATTTTATGAAAATCGTCTTCAAATTATTGTGGGATTTTGTCCAAGACATTGAAAGGGAAGTGAGATTGGAAGGAAGATCTTACAGTGCCCATGGGATGTTACATGAGGTAATCAATCAAGTTAATGCCATAAAATTTTTGATAAATACACACGAAAATAACGTCATATATATACTTCAAAAATTACATAAGAGAAATTGTATACCATTCAACTGTAACGAGCAGTACAAAAGACTAGCGAGGGCGAACCTTGCATCTACCAAATGGGAACGAGCAGCCATCGTTCCAACGTTCGAGGAGTACTTGAAGGTTGGGAAGGTCGGGTTCGGGGCAGAAGCAGCCTTAGCTTGCGGTTTCATCTTTCTGGGACAAATTGCTGGGAAGGAAGCTTACGAGTGGCTCAGATCCAGACCAAACCTCACCCAGTCTGTCGCTTCAAAGGGGCGCTTCTTGAATGATATTACCGGCTTCCAGGTACAAATTTCACACATGTTGACATCGAAGAATACGAGTCAAGTTCCGTCACGGCGATGTTGTCTATTATTGGGAATCACAATAGAGAGTTAGAGTTATCCATTATAGAATTATATTCCTAACATGATTAGTGTTAATGTCCTAATATCTATGAGTTTTGATCAGGACGACATGAGCAGAGGGTATGTCGCCACGGGGATCAACGTTTATATGAAGCAATATGGTGTTACAGAAGAAAAGGCCTTTAGAGAGTTTCGTAAAATGATAAGGTTTGCGGATAAGATCGCGAATGAGGAGTTCTTGAATACAACCGTTGTGCCGAGGCAAATCCTCATGCAAGTCATCAACTTTGAACGCGGTTTCAACGCTTCCTACTTTCAAGGTGAAGGAATCACCAATTGCACACCAAAAATGAAGGAGAATATCACCTCTTTGTTTGTAGATCTGATAAGTCTCTGAAAGACTTGTGATATGCGATTTCTCTCTGTTGTGTTGTTGGATTGTGAGGCTGAAGATCTTAAGTTTAAGTTAAAGTTGACAGTTACACGTCGGATTGTAGTTCTGTTTCTTTACGGTTCATAATAAAAAAGACTTTATAGTTTATATTGTTGTTGATATGGATTCAACTAGGAGGCTAGGAGGCACAATGAAGTGGAAGGGTTTTTAGTGGGTTTGTTGCAGAAAATTATGGGAGAAACCAAAGAGATCCGAGTTTACGGGAGAAATCATTGGAATTCAGTCCCAAAAGATTTGTTAATAAGTTATACGACTTCAATGGAAACGATACTGGTTATCTTCCGTCCGGGTTTGGCCGGAGAATTTGTGTCGGGATACCCATGGCCGAGAGGATGATTTCGCACAATCTC